TTTCACGTCTTCCGAGCGAGTAGGCCAGGTCTCATAACCATAAAAATAACCACACGGGCAGAAGCGACGTATAACCTGCCTTTGAGTTTGAGACTGACGTCGCGACGACGCCATAAGTGTCCCAATCTGATGAATGCAAGGTGAGCTTTTGAGATCCGTCTTGAGACTTCAACTCCAATACAGCCGCAGGCTGGGGTGCAACTCCCTAGATAAGTGAAGCGGTGGGCTAGTTCCAGGACGTTACTAGCAATGGTGAGGGCAAGCGCTGCCATCTGCCAATCCTGGAGTAGTACTTTACATTTGCCCGGCGCGAAACACAGGCCCTACTTAGATGCCTCCATCGCTAAGTGGTTTAGCACGCTCTAGACGACTTGTGCATCATCCCCAAGCAAAGCGATATCAACGGTGTATTTCAAGTCCACAACTCTGTCTCCTGGGCGAAGCTCAATACCGCAGTTTTGAGGGCCTTACAGTGCTCATTGTGCGACATCTTCAACGACAAAATTGATGTGTAAAGGGGAGAAGGGGCAACCTTGGTGCACCCCGCTGGTGACAGCTAACCAAGTGTAAAGCACGCTGTAAGCCATGACTATGCCCGACGTGTGACTGTAAAGATCCCTCAAGATTGTTACAAACTTGTCGGGCATACCTTTTCTTAGTAGACAGTTCTAAGAAGCAGATGTTTCTAATGAGTCTAAAACCGCTCGGATGCCCACTAACACTGCGGTTGTTGGCAGTCGGTGGACGTGACTGAGTCCAAGCAGTTGGCGAAGTGTGAAGGTGTGGTCAATGCAACTTTGACCTGAACAGAAACGCGCTTGTTCCTCTCGGTAAACGCGTTCTCTAGTCTTTGACAGCCTGCGGCTTAGAACAGAGATGATAACCTTGGTGGCAAGAGATTACTTTAATTCCGCAGTAATTAGCGCAATCCTCGCGGGAGCCCTTCTTTTGAATCTGGACGATGACCGATTCTCCCCATGCAATTGGGACTTCCTCGTCAGTCCAAATTCTCCTGAAGTGTGATAGCATTTCGTTGTCAACTGCATCCCCGCCATCTTTGAAGAGAGCCGCGAGTAGGCTGTCAAAACCGGGAGCTTTATGACGCCCCAAACTGGATTGCGTTTGGGGTCTCTGTTTCGGTAAGAGCACTTGTGACCAGAGGCCAAACACCATCCGAGGGAAACGGAGGTGTCGCAGTGGGATGTGCTGAGCAGTTAAATTAGATAGCACAGTTCTCTGCCTAGCGGCGCAAGCGCCTATGCAGGGTGGTGATTTTCGTGCCTACTGACTCACAATTCGTCCGACTGACAACGTGTGAATTGTAACCAGCGGCCTTGGTGAGGTAAAACGAACGGCGGAAGTTTCTAGCGGAAGAAGCGGCTTCCATCTCAGTAATTTGTTTTGATCACGAGGATTCACGGTCAGAGCCAAGGCTTGACTTCAGCTGTTGAGAGATGGACGGCGATAGTTTATTGTGCTCCCCACCGGTGGGCACAGCCAGTCGACGATCTGGTAGTTCCGAGGATCTTACCGAAATCCAGGTCTGGTTACAAAGCGGGTGAGTCCGCAGCCGGACAAGCTGGAGGATAACATTGATTTTTCAAAATTAACCAGTGATGATCAACATCCAGAGCCTGGGATAGAGCGAGATGTTTGCGAAGCCACTGTTGATGCTGAGATTTCAAAGTTGGGTCTTCCAACTTGAGAGTTGGGTCAGGTTTGCCTCACTCTGCGTGAAGCGCCGAAACTAATACATATGGTCGCACACACCAATGCACGATCGGTGTCAACACAAGTTGACCGAAATGATGGGCAATCGCGTACGCTGCCGCTCCACCTGCGACTTATGGCTATGTGATCAATTTGTGACCACCTATGGGTTGACGACGGAGGACGCCAAATGACACAGTGGCGTGCAGGATGGCGAACGCTGGTAGTGTAGAGGAACAGCTGGTTGTCAGCACAAAGATTGAGCGGTCTCACTCTGTTGTCAAAGTGATTAAGTCGTTCGATGAGTCCATTCGCTACAGGGTTATAAGGTACAATCCTTGAGTGATTGATACCATTGCGCTGTAGGAATTTCACCGTATTCGTTACTTCAAAACCTTGGGCGGTTATCAGTGAATATATTTTATGGCAACCCGTACCTTGAAAACAAACGACAGAGCCACTTTATGATGACGGCTGTAGTTACGTCCCCGCATAGAATAGCCTCTGGCCATTTTCTGTAGAAACAAATAGTCATTAGCTTCTGCGGAAATGCTTTGATAAACGGACCCTTAATATCGATGGCAATATTTACCCATGGCTTTATCGGGTACACGATAGTTTGGACTGGAGCAATTAGGGGCTAAGCAGTCTTTTCAGATTGTTGGCAGGCGTAACATCCTCGAATAACTGCCTCGAAGCTTGGATTCAACTTCGGCCACCAAGAGTATTGTCATATCTGAGCATTTGTGCTAGTAATCCCCGGATGGCCTTCATGCGCACATGCAACCACTAGAGGGAGGAGGGTTACAGGGACCACAAATTGCTCGCCTCTACTAATGCAGCTGCTCACAGTAGAAATCTCATGCCGTAGGGAATAGTATGAAATTAACTCAGGTTGGATCTTGGTAAGACTAGACCATAAAGTGGATATATACTCCCGTAGCTTCACTAGGACATGGTCATTGTCAGTGTGCTCTCGTATCAGTTCAAATGTCATTGTAGGTGTTCCATCTAATAACTGCAATATCATTTTTACCTTCTCTATGTCCTAATTTTTCCCTTCGTTGGACAGCAAGAGTTTTGCCAGAGCACCTGCAAGTTGGTTAAAGCACCCTGACATGTATTTTATTTCATAATCATAGTTCCATAAACGTGAATACCAGTGATTCAAGTGTACCGGCTTTTGGCCTTTGTTACCGCGCCTTAGTAGCGTTGTATTAGCAGAATGATCGGTGCGCAAACTGACTCGACGTTGGAATAAGTAAAAGTGTCATTTCTCGCATGCCCAGACGCATGTGCGGGCCTCCTTCTCACCGGTGGCATAATTTCTTTCAGTATCAGACAAGGTACGTGATGCATACGCAGTCACTTTCTACTCGCCATCGAGCAGCTGAGACAGAACTGCACCCAAACCAACATCTGAAGCATCCGTCTAAATAAACATTGGACAGTGCTCATTGAAGATCGCTACTGTAGGAGTGGATTCCATCATCGCTCGTATGGCCATGTAAGCATTGTCTGGTTCAGTGGCCCAACGAAACTCCTGATTTTGGCACGTCCAGCTCCGTAATGGATCGGGAATAGTCGCAAAATTCGGCAAATCTCCAAGGGCATAAGAACACCAACCCAAGAAATGTTTTATCTGTGTAACGTTGCAGAATTTTGGACGATAAAGAATGGCTTTGGTGTTCTGTACCTTAGGCTTAATAAGCGTGGTAGAAATGACATGCCTAATGAACTCTACCACCGTTACAGTGAACTGCATTTGCTGGTATTCAGGCGGAGATTTACTTCCTTTAGTCTATGCAGCACTTTACGAAAGTTTTCCTGATGTTCTGTGGGGTTACTACCAAAGACATATATCTTCCATATACACAACACATACTTTGATATTGGAGAACGATACAGTAATATATTTCTGTCAAGCTGCTGGGGCGCCACCAAGGCCCATTGGTAGTACTTTGTACTGATGCAAAGCAACTTGCGTGAGCAAAGCAGTCCAATGTCGGCAACCTGGAGTCAGTGGAATGTGGTAGTATGCACTGCGACTATCCAGCTTTGGGAAACTTTGGGCTTTCGAAAGCCTAACCATCAACTTGTCGAGAGAAGGCAAATGGAATTTGTCCACAAATATATGTCGATTAAGTTCTCGAAGATCGGTGCGTACACGACTAGAGCGATCTCTCTTTTGAACGGCACTTGGTTAGGTTGTGCTTCATTCGACTTAACCAGATTGGATCAGGCTTGAATGTCTCACATTGTTCGAAATATTCTATGTTTGTTGAGGTTCCTAATAAGCGTATTATGTAGGTTTCTTGTATATTAGACTGTAAAGTACGGTCTACTTTGTTTCCCCTACGGTACCCAATCAGGCAGCACTCCGAAAGTTGGAGTGAAAGTGATGAAGTTGCATAGTGTATAGATTCTGTTCCTTCGTAAGTGCCAAGTAACATTTCAATGCATCGTCTGGTCTTCGCAGTGACGTGGGCAACTTGTTCGGGGAAGTTGAGCAAGCATGAGTAGCTTAATCCAGGGTCACGAACTGTACGGTGTATATTAATTGGCTTATCACAAACGGTTAAACTGTTAGTTATTATGTCGTATTTGTAGAACATAGCGTAACACTTATCTGTCGTAAAGAGAAGCTAGATTTGATCTCGAAAAAGAAACCGCCTAAAGAAGACGATGGTTGGATTGCAAAGCTATCCAAAAGAGGATTACCGGAAGCGGAAAAATCAGTCATTGTCCGAGGTATGCAATTCAATATTAAAGACTCCAATCCTATCGACTTCCTTGCTGCACTTGAATCGATCCTAAAATCGTACAACATCGCTCCTGAAGCACAACAAAATGTCAGACACAGAATCGTCCCGGCTCTCAGTCATAAAGCTGAAACCAAAATATTCAACGCCGCTGAACGGAATGCTCTGGAGAACCTCAAGAAAGACAAAATCATAGTTATACTGCCGGCCGACAAAGAACGCCTTACTGTTGTAATGGACAAATCTGATTACATGACGAAGGCACAACACCTACTCAGTGATACCAACACATACCAGCCGATAAAGGAAGACCCGACAAAACGCTTAGAAGGCAACATCAGACGCGCTCTGCACAAACTGGAACAAATGGGGAAAATCACAAAATCGGAACACAAGAGGATGCGACCACAAGACTCAGTAATACCGCGGTTCTATGGCTTACCTAAAGTACATAAAAGCGGAGTGCCGCTTCGCCCCATCGTGTCGTTACATGGAGTACCAAACTACAGGCTTGAAAAGGAGCTCTGGAGACGGCTAAAACACGTAATCGCGGGATCGGAACACTCGATCAACTAGGCAGAACAGTTCCTCGAGAAACTTCAAACCGCAACCATTGAACGAGACGAAATAATGGTCTTTTTTGATGTTACCGCTTTGTTCACTTCAATCAACATTGACTTGGCGAAACAAACAACGGCGCGTCTGCTAGAGGAGCACACGTTTTCTGATACAAACAGTGAACCCAAGCCCAAACAGATGATAGAGTTATTGGAATTCTGTTCAACAACACTTCACTTTCAATGGCCAAATTTACGAACAGATAAGAGGCACACCAGTAGGATCACCGATCTTTGGTCTAATTGCTGAGACAGTGATGCAGGCGCTGGAACAAGTAGCACTTCCGATCGCGAGACCAAAACTTTGGATACGATACGTAGACGACACCTTCGTCATCCTCAAACGTTCCAAATTGGAGGAAACACACGAACTAATCAACAGTGTGTTCGATGGCACCCAATTCACCAGGGAGGAAGAGAACAACGAGCACTTACCATTCTTAGACGTTCTCATACGACGGACTGGTGCTGAACGATTGAAAACAACAGTCTACCGAAAATCTACGCATACGGACCAGATCCTCAACTACGGAAGCAATCATCCGGCAGCCCACAAACGCAGCTGTGTACAAACCCTTTTCAAACGAGCACAAACCCATTGTAGCACACCGCAGCTGAGACGGGCAGAAGAAGACTATCTCTTCAATCTGCTCAAGCGGAACTCGTACACAAAAGGCTTCATCCTACGCTGCCTCGCATCACAAAAGGTTGCTCGACACACCTCGACAAACGTAACAGCTGAAAAGAGAACAACTCTGCCCTATGTCAACGGTATCTCTGAAATGGCAACGAGGCTATTATTGCCTTTTGAAGTCAAAGTTGCACACCAGCCAACGGAAATCATTCGCAGTAAACTCTTCAAAGTGAATGATAAACTTAGCAAAGAGGAAGAAACTGGTGTTATTTATAAGATCTGCTGCCGGAACTGCGACAAATACTACGTGGGACAGACTGGGAGAAAGCTTGGCACAAGGCTACACGAACACTGTCTAGCTGTACGTCGCCACGATCAGAACTCCCTGATGTCAGTGCATATGGATGCTGAGAACCATCAATTCGACATAGAGCATGTCAGTATCCCCGGAAGGCCTAAAAGCCGGCAAGCATGTGAGTTCATTGAAGTCCGGCATTCAAAATAGAACTCGATCAATAAGCACTTGGACATTGCAATCGCTTACGAGGCACTGCGAACCAGGCGCCTGAAGCCGCACTGATGATGTTGCCTAGTCAGGCAACGAAATGTCTGCATAATAAGCACTCAGCTCGGAGAACCGCTCAAAATCCGTATCATCCCCTACTTTGAGCATCATCATCATCATCATACACGTTAGCTGGAGGTGGGGAACACCTCGGCTACTGTGCCGCAATACATAGTAAAAAGAAAAAAACAACAACTGGTGCAAGTCGGCTGAGCTACCGGTAACGGATGGACATCATTCCGGTAAGCTAACAGCCGGCTCCTGTGCATCAAAAATTATGCAGAATTATATAAAATTAAATAATGAGATCGTGATTGGAGGGGGAGGCTAAGAGGGATGGGGTGGGACAAAGAAACTCACAGCACGAACGCCACTGAGGTCGGCTTCTTGCCATATCAGCAAGTGTGTCCAACCAAACGTGTTCATCGTCTTTCGGACCCCAACCAGGGAGCCGAGACGCTCCAACCGAGGCCAGCTCAGAAGTGAGGGCCTTCATTCCTCTGGACCAAGTCATCGCTTGGCCACCCCTCCTCTTCTTCCATCCACACCCCCGGCGCGCAAACAACGCACGTCGCGGGAGTCGGTGGGCTGGCATGCGTAACACGTGGCCGAGCCATCGGAGCCTGGTGCGTGAAATAACGGTGCTGAGCGGTTCAGTTCCTTTTCCTGTGCCATAAACAAGGCGTCGAACACGCTCGTTGCTCACGCGGTGTTCCCACCATATGTGAGCTAAATTACGAAGGCACCGGTGGTCGAACGTAACTAGCCTCTTCAGGTCCGTTGCTTTAAGCAGCCAGGTTTCACAACCGTACAGTAGGGTCGAACGTACTGCTGCATTGTACACTCTACTCTTCAGGGCAAGAGTGATGTCGCGCCAGCGCCATAAGTGGCGAAGGTTAGCAAAAGCGCCCCGAGCTTTTGCTATACGATTCGTGATCTCATCTTCAATCCCACGGGCGCTGATACAACTTCCCAGGTAGTTGCATTTCTGAACGACTTCTAGCTGATCCCCACCAAGGGTCAGCGTAGGAGGCGGTCCAGACCAATCTTGGAGAATCGCTTTGCACTTCGTGGGTGCGAAGCAAAGCCCGAAGTGACGGACAGCTTGTGCTAATCTGTCCAGTGCCGCTTGGCACGTCTGGGAGCTGTCACAGATTAGGGCAATATCATCAGCATACTCCAAGTCAAGAAGTCGTTCTCCTGGGAGTAGCTCCACACCTTCTAAGTCGTGTCCTGTGAACGCAATTTCCATGACTTCGTCAACAGCGAAGTTGAAGAGGAAAGGCGACAGCGGGCATCCTTGTCTCACGCCGCTGGAGATATTAAAGGGCGACGACAACTTGCCGTAAGCCCTCACTCTGCCCGAGCTACGAGCATACAATGCTCGGATAATATTCACATATTTCTCAGGTACACCTTTCCTGAGTAGACAGTCCCAAAGTGCATGTCTATCCACCGAATCGAATGCACCTTTGATATCGAGGAACACGACAACGCTGGGCCGCCAATATATGTGACGGTGCTCCAACAACTGACGCAAGGTGAAGATGTGGTCAATGCAGCCACGACCTCGACGAAATCCAGCTTGCTCTTCACGAATCTGGCTTTCACGAGTGCCAGTCAGTCTGTGAAGGATGACAGAAGCAAGCAATTTGGAGGCGATGGAGATCAGACTGATTCCTCTATGGCTGCCGCATTCCGATCGTGAGCCTCCTTTGAAAATTGGGACTATGACGGAGCGGCTCCAATCGGTTGGGACAGTCTCTTGCTCCCACAGTTTGACTAGTAACTCGTGTAAATCATCCATTAGGGCAGGTCTCCCGAATTTGAAGAGGGCTGGAGAAAGGTCATCAGGTCCCGCGGCTTTATTTAACTTCAACAGTCCGATCTCACGTTCGACTTCTGAGCGAGAGGGTGGATCCAAAGGGACAGCCCAGGGAGTGGGGCGATCAGTGGCCGGCAAGAAATCTAACCATTCCGGCCGATTAAATTGCCTTTCGAAGTGCTCAGCCCAACACTCTAAGCGTTTTGATAAGTTGTAGATAGGCTGTCCACTCTCGTCACGTATAGTTTCACAAACACCAGGTCTCCTGCTGCCCGTTTCCCGTATCAAACGGAATAACTTACGATGGTTACCAAGGGCAGCGGCCATTTCCATCTCTGTTGAACGATTAGACCACCATTATTCGCGGTCTCTCTTCAGGCTAGCAGGGAGTTTTGCCCGGAGCTCTTTGCGAGTTTCATTGTGTTCGCTTCCAGCCGGAATATGCCGGCGAGCATCTATAAGTTCTAGAGACTGTGAAGAGACCCAATATTTATGTTGGCGCTTAGACATACCACATGAGGATTTTCCTGCTGTTAGTAAGGTCTGGTGAATATGAGACCAGTGACCTTCAATTGCATCCAGCGAGCGTTTATCCAACTCGCATGACAGCGTACTTCGATACGCATTCAGAACAGCTGGCTTTGCCAGTTGGCTGGTGTCAATGCGCTCACAAGGTCGTCGTGGGCGTCCGCCAAAGCGCATCCGCAGGTCAGCACATACAAGTGCATGGTCGGTGTCCACACTTGTACTCCAAATCGAGCGACAGTTCTGGACGCAGCCTCTCCATCGGTAACTTATCGCAATGTGATCGATTTGCGTCCATAGCTGGTTCGAGGCTGGTGGGTGCCAAGTCACCCTCCGGCGGGTGTTGTGTCTGAAATTAGTGCTCGCAAGAAATAAGTGAGCATCTTCACACAAATGAAGTAACCGCTCACCGTTATCATTACGGGAGCCTATATCATGTTGGCCGCCCAGATGCAGCTCATCTGTGGATAATATTCCAACTTGAGTGTTCAGATCCCCAGCCAGCACTACAGTGTCCGAGCTTCTTCTGTGGCTAAGGAGCTCATTCAGTTGATGATAGAAGTCGTCTTTTACCGAGTCATCGCTACAGTTTGTCGGTGCATAGGCAGCGATAACGAATAGACACCTATTGGTCCCGCGCGACTTCGAAGTTTTGAACAAGCCAGCCAATCGGACCGCACACATCCGGCTACTGATAGGAATCCAATCAACCAGAGCAGCTTCAGCCCGAGGGCTCAGGGCAATACCAACACCAGCTTGGCCGGTGCTCGAAGCTGCATCGTCACCGGATAGGCGCAATGAGAAAGTGCTGCTAGTGTCACCTGAAGGGTATCGCAGAGTGAGCACAGAGCTCGAGTCTTGCAGGCGGGTCTCCGATAAGCAGCAGATATCGATTGAGAGGGTCTCTAATGTTCGGGCAAGTGCTGCCTGTTGACCGATCTGTAGCAATGTGCGTACATTGAGGCGTGCCAATCTGAAGGAGGATCGAGGGCTCCAAATGGAAGCCGATGAACTGGATTGGACCGCTTGGTTGGACATGGGCTTGTCGACAGGAGAGGAGTGACGCTCCGCGTTCACGTGTGAGTTGAAATTAGAAGGTAAATGCCTAGCAAAGCATGTTGGGGGAGGGCCAAGAATCGGGGGGTTGAAAACTGGGGGGATATAAGTGAAGTTGGAATGGGACGGTAAGAGTGAAAAAGCATAAGAGGGGAAATAAGAAGACGGGAAGGCTTGAGCAGTAGCATCCAAACCCCTATCCACCCTGCTCGATGCAGCAGATAGGGCACCGTTCATTATCCTCTGCGGTGGCCAGAGCATCAAGAAATTGTTTGAAGGAAAATTCATAGTACTGCGTGGGCAGGATACTGTCAGGTTGCCCAGGCCTAGACAGGAGAACGATTAGGGTTCTCAACCAAAGCCTTTGCTTCAAAAACCTGACCGCAAGGCAGCGGGTTTGGCATTGGGCTACAAGGAGTCCGTTTTAAGGAAAAAAGAGCCATCCTAATTCCAACCCCCAACCTGGAGGACCAGGAGGCTTAGTTTGTCTGGCCTCTAACCATTGACCAATCTGGTATGAGTGGCTCTGAAGGTGCAAAAATGCACCACCCAGTATAGCTCAATGGATCATTGAGGCACACAAACCATCGCACCACGGTAAGGTCCAGCCTCATTGCGATGGTCTACTTTGAGCACCAGTTGCCGAATGCATACAGGTCGAGCTGGAAAATATTGGTAGTTTCGCTAATGGTAGCAGCGTGAAAAGTGTAAATAATTTCGATGTCTTCGTCAAAAGCGTATGGTGTTCCGAATTTTACTGCGTCAAATATATCGTTAACATACATCAAAAAGATTATAGGACGAAGGAAACTATTCTGTCTTACACCACTTGTGACCGTTGTTGGTTCAGATTTGTGTTCCCGAATCTGTACTAGCTGTGTTCGATTCAGAAGATACGAGTTGAATAACGAAGCTGGGTTCCGCCATTCCATAATACCTCAAGTTGGATATTAGTTTATCAATTAGCACTCGATCGAAGGCTTTGTGCATGTCGTGCTCAACAACGATTGCAAACTTTCAGTTATCCTGTAAAGTAGTCAGACGATGTAGAAATTCAAGTGGGCACGTTAATGACGAACATTCAGGAAACCGTACGCAACGTCATTGCTTAAGTTACACGACAGCAGAAAACCGACCGTTACAGTCTTTATATGTCACTACATCAATTTGTATAAGATAGATGTATGATTGCTTGCCGAGAATTCTTTGTTTCGAACTGGGAACCTGATTTGGGTCGAGGCATAACAATGGCTTCTTTTTACTGTGTTGGTACAATGACAGCGTAGATGAGCTTCCAGAGCCTTGCCCTTTGTGTGTTCGTACAGATTGACTTTAACTGCTTAACACAGTCTGAGACAGCTACAAGGAGACGCAACCAGCACACTGGCCTGCTGCGAAAGGCATTCGAGAGATTTGACCCCCTCCATCTTCCCGATGATGCATAAATTCTACGTGCGCCCTTACGTTGAATACGCCTTCCTAGCTTGGCAATCTTGGTTTAAGTGCGGCCTGGAGGTGCTAGAGGCACCACAAC